AAACATCCCCACCCTGTCCCTGAGGGCGCTGCCCGAACGCTCCTTGGGGATAATCTCCCATTTGTCATTTCTCCACAGAAATGACATTTCTGTGTCATTCCAGAATCCACCGAGCAATGGGTTCATTCCTGGAGAATCGCTGCGCTCGGGTAATGGGATCAGGGCAGGGAATTATCCACGGAGATTGCATCACAGAGGGTCAGTGACCCCCGGAGGCTGTCCYCAAGTGCCACCAGCCCTTGGGGACAGGAGGGAGGGTGACAGCAGCCCTTTGCCAGCCCGGTGGGAGATGCTGGACCAGCTCCTGCTATCCCCACTCCATCTGGGGGATCTGGGGTCCCCTTTGCTCCTCTGTCACCCCCTAAGCCAAGCAGCAGCCACCTTTAGATGGACCTGGGGGAGCTTTTGGGCACTGAGGAGCTGCGGTGGCACCAGGGTGGGACATCACAGCCACACCACAATGGCCTTGAGCAGCCACAGGTGTCACCTTGTCCCGTTCCCTCTCCCCACATCCTGCGGGGCTCCCACTGACAGTTTTGGGGTCTCAGGGGGACTGAGGGGAGAACGTGATGGGTCCCCCAGAGGAAGAAGGGCTGGAAACAATCCTGGGGGGCTGGAACCAGTTTGTCCCAGTGCTGTGGTAGCGATGGGACAAAGCCTCCATGTGGAGGGGTCGGTGCCCCCCTCGCTGCTCCTCCACAGGATGGATAGAGGAGCTGGCTCTGCTCTCGGTACCCCCAAATATCCCCCAAAACCACCCCGCAGCTCCCCCACTGAGCAACGCTGCCGCTTAATTAGGTTAATGACCGTGCTTCATTAAGGCCGGGCGTTCCCAGGCAGCCCGGAGGATTTGGGGCGCGGGTGGGGACGGGGAGCGGCGAAGGGGAAGCGAAGAAAAGGGAAAGCGGCGGCCAAGTGCTAATCCCGGGAAAGGAGGGCAGCCGGGGCACGGGGATCGGCCTTAATCCCCCGCGGCAAAGATTGAGCCGGGACCGCCTTAATCTGCGCTCCGGAGGGCGGGACCGGGACCGGGAGCGGGAACAGGGAACAGGGAACAGGGAACAGGGAACAGGGAACAGGGACCAGGAACAAGGACCGGGAACAAGGACCGGCATGGGGATGGGGACCAGGACAGGACTGGGAACAGGGATAGGGATGGGGACGGGGATAGGGACCGGGACGGGGATGGGGATCAGGACGGGGATGGGGATGAATGTGAGGATGGGGATGAGGATGGGGATGGGGAACAGGGAACGAGGAACAGGGACAGGACGGGGATGGGGACTGGCACCAGGACCGGGATCAGGACAGGAACCAGGATGGGGATGGGGCCAGACATGGATGGGGACAGGGACAGGGATGGAGACTGGGATTGGGATGGGGATTGGGATGGGGACGGGGACAGGGACTGGAATGGGACCACACCTGCGACCAGGATGGGAACAAGGATGGGGATGGAGACAGGGACAGGGCATCCCAGCTGTGTCACCAAGGGGGATGGGACATCTCACCTGAGTCACAATGGATTTGGGACATCCCACCTGTCACCAGAGAGAAAGGGGCATCTCACCTGTGCCCTGATGGGTTTGGGGCATCCCAGCTGTGCCATGACTTAGCAAAGTCTCCCCTGGCATCTCTTTGCTCCAGCCCAACCCTGGGGTGTCCATGCCCCCCGTTATCCAGGAGTCTCCTGTGATCCCGGGATGCCCACGGTCCCCTCTGCCCCTCTGTGGGCCCGGGCAGGGTTCTGTGGGGCCGGGGAGGGATCTGTGGGGACCAGCAGGAATTTGTGGGGCCAGGCAGGGATCAGTGGGGCTGGGAAGGGATCAGTGGGGCCTGACAGGGATCTGCAGGGCCGAGGAGGGATCTGTGGGGCTGAGGAGGGATCAGTGGGGCCGAGGAGGGATCAGTGGGGCCAGATAGGGATCAGTGGGGCCGGGCAGGGATTTTCAGGGCCGAGCAGGGTTTGTCCCAGCTGACCCCGCTCTCTCTCCCGCAGGTGCATGGCACAGCGGCACTGAGCCCCTAGACCATGCCCCACACCATGAGATGGTGGCTCCCGCTGCTGGCCCTGCACGTGGCACTGCCGTCCCCGCGGGCAGACGCCTGCCCCGCTCGCTGCGAGTGCGCCCCGCAGCTGCGCTCGGTGCTGTGCCACCGCAAACGCCTGACCGCCATCCCCGAGGGCATCCCCAGCGAGACCCGCGTGCTGGAGCTCAACAAGAACCGCATCCGCTGCCTCAACCCCGGCGACCTGGCGCCCTACCCGCTGCTGGAGGAGCTGGATTTCAGCGAGAACATCATMTCCAATGTGGAGCCCGGCGCCTTCAGCAACCTGTTCAACCTGCAGACGCTGCGGCTGAGGGGAAACCAGCTCAAGCTGATCCCCCCGGGGGTGTTCACCAAACTGACCAACCTGACSCTGCTGGACATCAGCGAGAACAAGCTGGTCATCCTGCTGGACTACATGTTCCAGGACCTGCGCAACCTGAAGAGCCTGGAGGTGGGCGACAACGACCTGGTGTACATCTCGCAGCGCGCCTTCTCGGGGCTGCTGGGGCTGGAGCAGCTGACCATCGAGAGGTGCAACCTGACCGCCATCTCGGCCGAGTCGCTGTCCTACCTCCAGAACCTGGAGGTGCTGCGGCTGCGGCACCTCAGTATCTCGGCGCTGGAGGAGCAGAACTTCAGGAAGCTCTACAACCTCCTGCAGCTGGAGATCGACAACTGGCCSCTGCTGGAGGAGGTGTCCCCCAGCAGCTTCCAGGGCCTGAACCTCACCTCGCTCTCCATCACCTACACCAACATCACGGCCGTGCCCGCCGCCGCCCTGAGGAACTTGGTGTACCTGCGGTACCTCAACCTGTCCTACAACCCCATTAGCACCGTGCTGAAGGGCTCCTTCAAGGACCTCATCCGGCTGCAGGAGCTGCACATCGTGGGYGCCCTCCTGGTGTCCGTGGAGCCGCAGGCTTTCTCCGGCCTGAGGCAGATCCGGCTGCTCAACCTGTCCGGCAACTTCCTGTCCACSCTGGAGGAGAGCACCTTCCACTCGGTCAACACGCTGGAGACGCTGCGGGTGGACAGGAACCCGCTGGCCTGCGACTGCCGGCTCCTCTGGATCCTGCAGCGGCGCAAGACGCTCAACTTCGACGGGCAGCAGCCCATGTGCTCCTCGCCGCCCGAAATCCAGGGCAACGCCCTGCGCGACTTCCCGGACTCGGTGCTCTTCGAGTACTTCACCTGCCAGAAGCCCAAAATCCGCGACCGCAAGCTGCAGCACGTGACGGCGCGGGAGGGGCAGTCCGTGTCCTTCCTGTGCCGCGCCGACGGCGAGCCCGACCCCGCCATCGCCTGGGTGTCGCCGCAGCACCGCATGATCACCACGCGCAGCACGGGCCGCGCCACGGTGCTGCCCGGGGGCACGCTGGAGATCCGCTTCGCCCAGGTGCAGGACAGCGGCACCTACATCTGCATCGCCAGCAACGCCGGCGGCAACGACACCTACTTCGCCACGCTGACCGTCAAGGGGCGGCCGGCCGACGGCGCCCACCGCGCCAACCGGACTTTGTACCTCGGCGACTTCAATGACACCTTCCACAATGACACCCAGGTCTTCTTGAAGTTCACCTTGGACCTCAAGACCATCCTGGTGTCCACGGCCATGGGCTGCATCACCTTCCTGGGCGTGGTGCTCTTCTGCTTCCTCCTGCTCTTCGTCTGGAGCCGCGGCCGGGGGCAGCACAAGAACAACTTCTCGGTGGAATATTCCTTCCGCAAGGTGGACGGTCCCACCACCACCACGGGCCAGGGAGGGGCCAGGAAGTTCAACATGAAGATGATCTGAGCCTCTCCCAGAGCAGAACTGTCATCTGCTGGCCAGCCCTGGAGCTGGCAGTGGGACCTTGCCGTGCTGGGACGTGGCCGGAGACGCGGTGCCACAGGCCAGCAGGGTCAGAACCGTGGGGACCTCAGGTCAGGGAGGGATGGCCCCGCTGTCCCGGCCCCACGGAGAGCCCCCAGGGCTGGGGGGCCGTCCCAGGGGCTCCCTTTGTAGCGAGGTTTTTGCTACCAACTATGCATTTCTTGAGCCAAAAGATCAGCAGCGTTTGGGCCTGGGAGAAAAATGCTTCCTGTTTTTCCCCCATTTTTCCCCTTTTTTTGTAAGGGACTCTTCAGAAAACTTTCCTGGTAGTTGTTTATGGTTCTTTTCTCGATGTTGGTGGGGGGTTTGGTCCAAATTTTTTTTTCTTTTTTTTTTTTTTTTTTTT